ATTCATATGCTGCAACACAAGATCAACACATCTCTAGTTGACATGATCATAAGCCTTTTCAATATCAAGCTTACAAATCAACCCAGGGGTACCCTCTCTTCTTCTTGAGTGAATCAGCTCATTAGCAATAAGAATTGAATCAAGCATCTGTCTTCCCGGAACAAAGGCACTTTGATTGTTTGAGATAACACTACCTAAAACCCCTTTCATTCTCTCGGCAAGGACTTTGGCTAAGATTTTATAGAAACTATTGCAGAAGATTGATCGGCCTGAAATCTTTAATGTTCACTACACCTTCAGTCTTTGAAATAAGGGTAATAAAAGTAGTGTTCAACTCCTTTACAATGAATCTCTCTCATAAAAGCCTTGGAAGACATTCAGAATATCTTGTTTCACAAAGTCCCAGCATTTAATGTAGAAAAGATTGGTAAGACCATCTGACCCCAGAGATTTGTCGTCAGCCAACATCTTAATTGTTGCTTTTATTTCTTCCTCCGTGAAGGGTCTTTCAATGAAGGTGGACTGAACTTCACTCAGCTGTTTGAAGGGAAGGGACCTAGGAAATGGTCTGAAAATCCAGAATTCTTTATAAAGCTTTTTATAAAATCTAGTTGCCACTGTCTTCATTTCTATCTCAGATTTCCCCCACCCTTTCATCTCCTTCCAACCTACTGATTACAGAAGCTCTGGCTCTTGCATTGCCATTTTATGGAAGAAATGTGTGTCTTTGTCCCCCTCTTTTAGCCAAGCCACTTTAGCTCTTTGTCTCCATTTGATTTCATCAGTCATGGCCAATTTATCATACTTCAACTTCGCCTGAGATCTTTTCAATCTGCACTCCTCTAATAAAGGACCCAATTCTTCTGCTGAATCAATCTCCTTTATGGTACTCAAAAGAGCTTTCTTTTCCGTTTCTAAATTCACGCTTTTCTCCAATTTCCAGATTTTTAATCTTGCTTTAATGGCACCAAGTTTTTTTGCCAGAATGAATGAGCTGGTTCCCATTACCTGCAAATCTTTCCACACTGTCTTCAGCAAAGGGATAAAGTTAACATCTTCAAACCAGGCATTGTCAAATTTAAATGAGGCTCTGACTTTATTTCTGGAGCCACATACTAACTGAATTGGAATATGATCTGAAACTGGCCTAGGAAGGGCAATCAGCTTAAAGTTAGAGAAGAGCTCTTCCCAATTAGGGGTAACAAAGAACCTATCCAGTCTCACAAGGGTGGGGGTATCTTGATTATTGGTCCAAGTAAACTGACTACCATGGAGAGGTAGATCAATCAATTCAAACCTGTTGATGCAATCAGCAAACTGAGCCATTGCCCTAGATCTTCTCCCTCTGGAATTTTTCTCTTCAGCTGACAAAATGACATTAAAATCACCACCAATAACCCAAGGATAAGACAGGTTTTTCCTCACTTCAGCCAATTCCTCCCAGAACTCCTCCCGAAGATTTCGACCATTAGGACCATAAACATTTGTGACTTGACAAATATTTCCATCTGCAAATTTAAGAACTAGGGAAACCGAAAAGTTTCCAATGTGAGGAGATCAAGCTACAAACAGAAGGATCCCACATACTCAACAGCCCCCATACACTCCCTACTGCCAATTTAGACTTCCATCTGACCTCTCCCTCCCCCCAGATGCTTCTAACTACTGCAGCCTCCACACTGTCTAGCTTGGTTTCTTGCAACAGAATGATCTTCGACCTCGACTTCTTCAAGGACTCACACACTACAAGTCTTCTTCTACCCGAACCCAACCCCCTTACATTTCAAGATAAAATTTTTACCTCCATTACAATTCATGCTACTTCTCCAATAACAAAGGCAAAAATGCTCCAAATTTTCTTTTCATGAGAATATTAACCTCTCCACCTCCCCGTTTTCTTCCTGAGTAGAAAGCCGCAATTTTGGGGGGAATAAGCCTAGTCCAAACTTCTTTGATTGGGAACACTCAAGGGCCAAAATTAGAACATAGTGATTTGAAGAAAGAAGCACAAGTAACCTTTCAGGACAAGAACCCAAATCCTTCTATCAATTTTAAGGGGATCCTAGCAAACAGACTCAAATAAAAGCAGTTGTTTAGAAACACAAGTGGATTATTCATCATCCCTCATCCCTCTATGGAAGCCAAAGTCCTAATTAGTGTTTTAAAAGGTGTGGGAGGCATATTTCTGGAGGTGCCCCCAAAACGCCTAGAGGCGTTGACACCTCTGAGGCATATGCCTCAAGTGAAAGAGGCATATGCCTCATACACTTTTTTCATGAGGCGTGCTAGTGGTATATGCCTCATGTGCCTCATGCACACCTCATGTAAAATGACAAAAAAAAAAGGAAAAAAGGAAAGGAAAGGCGTATGCCTCGTGCCCTTTTTAACTAGTGCTATGCATCTTCATTCTTCTTAATATAAAAGATTTTTATTAAAAATAAAGAAAAATGAGATTCTTCTGCCTCTTCTTCCTCATTCTTCCTCCTCATCCCCCTCCTCTTAAGGAGGCTTATGCCTCCTTGCGTTCGGGAGGCTTACACCTCTTACGTTCTGAACTACACCTCACGCATCTAGGTAGTGGAATGCCTCGCATTACGCCTCCGCATTTTAAAACATTGGTCCCAATTTGGAGACAACGGAAGAATCATAGAAGAGAGAAAATTAGAAACACACTCTTCTTTATTAAGAGAAATAGAATAAAGAGAAGGAAAGAGGTCTTTAAGAGGTAGATTACCCACCCAAATGTTTTCCCAAAAAAAGAACAGAATTCCTATAGCAAACATCATACCTTACAAACCTGAAGGAAAAGCTTAACATGGAACTATTATTCTTAGAGGAGGAAGCAAATGGAATTTCTGATAATGGAAAGGAAGGAAACTGCCGTGAAAAGGAAGGAAGCTACATCTCTGAGAAAAGTTCTTCAAACGAATTGAAGAGCTTGACAAAGACGATACCAAATGTTTCTTATCATCTGCCTTATTAGGCTGTTTCAATGGGCCAGCTGAAATCAGCCCATTCGAGGTCTCATTAGGAATTGGACTTTTATCCCCCAAGCCCAAAGGCCCATTCGACAGTTTAGGCCCAAACTGGTCGCTAGTCACGTAATCTATTAAAAGTCCACCCCTATTCGGTTGTTCAACACCCCCCTCTCTCACTAGACCAACTGGCTTGTCCAAAACCTTTGAGGAGTTCAGAGTTTGCTTGCCTATTTTTGTGAAAATTTTAACTACTCTAAATCCTCCAACCCCATGGTGCCATGCAAGAACTGTTATTCCACCCTTTCATCTCCTTTCTGCCGAGACTCCCTCCATAGAACAACTTCAATGGAGGAGGCCAACCACACCTGCACAAACAAGCCTCTGACACTGATAGTCATCTTTTGGGAATTTCCTCAGGTTAACTCCACCCAAAAGGAAAGCTGCTGATCTGAGATCTCCCCCAAAACTCCCCATCAAGACAAGCACCACATAAACTGCAATAGAATCTGCGACCTCATGGTTCCACAGGTGGAAAGGGAGCCCAGTCACCTGAACTACCACCCCATCTTACAACTTGCTTCCCTTTAGTTGCTACCTCAGATACAAAATCTCTCACCCATTCCAGAATCTCTAAGCCTTCCACCAGTACTGTTGCCATCTTCATTTCCCTTATCTTCAGACTTGGTCATCCCTTAATCCTCAATTCCTTGAACAAGAAGTCTTTAGCCTCCATCTTCAGAGATTTCCTCCACCTTGTCATCTCCACAAAGCCTTCTAAGCACTCCATCTCTTTTGGCATCTCATCTATTCTTTTGGCAATCCTCCCATCTATCACAATTATCTTTTCCTTTGCTACTGCAGTCTTTGAATGTGTAGTAGTTATTTTTCAAACATGGCCAGTCCCCAGCATGGTCATTTTGTTAATAGATGATGCTCTCTTTACATACCGATGCATTGTGGATGGCTGTTAGGTTTGCAACTTGATATTCTTGTAATGTATAGAAACAACAATTTTTTGGATCTCTTACAACCAAACTTATTAGAAATATTATGAAAAAAAATAATCATTAGGAAATTTTCGATAACTGTACTGGACCAAACAGTCGAACCTGCGAAAGCAGGAGTTGGATAGCTTCCAATTTGTTGTTTTACAGCAGTTTTGGTAGCTATAATAAAACTGCCAGGCTGAACTGGGACCAGTTTTCTGCTCCGGTTTCAGTTTACAAAAATATTAGAGTATATAAAAAGCTATCCAAAACCTTGAAAGGCAATAGCATTGAAGTAAGGGATTCAATAAAGATGTAATAAATGTTGGAAGAGATTCAAATCATGCCGCAGAGATATGTCAAGGACAAGTATGGACACGGTATCAGATACGGAATTTATACTAAAATTGAAGTATCTGACACCATACAGCATCCTTGTACAGGTATCTGAGAATCATTCAACCTCTCAAATGATGTGCATTTTCCTACTATCGCAACCAAAGCACTGCGAATTTGCATGAAGAAGTGATGTCTGTCTGTTTAGACTGAAATATCACTTAAATATGATGTCTTTTTTTTTTTTTGATAAGCTGAATATACTGCATATCGGTGGTGTCATTTACATCATATAAATGTTTCCAAACGCCCCATATAAATGGAAACTGTCTAGGATGAATTTATACTACTCCAGAAGCTATTTTAGGTCAAAGATCAAAAAGTTCAATACGAAGGTTAAGAAAAGTGGTCTTGTAATTGTTGAGACAAAATAGTGAATATTAGTATACCCCCTTGGAGTATCTGCACTGATTATTCATGCTAGTGATATTTCTACCATGAAATATTCCTTTTCATGGCTGTAGCCATTTCGACCATCAGTGATATTTCGTAAAGCCTCTGTGAAGTCAGGACTAGCCACTTCATAGCATAAGCTCCTTAATCTCTTAGAATTTTCAGCTTAATTGATGTTAAGTCTTGCGTGCAGATAAACGCAATGTCTGACTCTTCTACTTTTTAAAACTTGTTGGGGTTCCTGCAGATCAAAGACATGGAACTCGATGGATATGATTCTGAAGGGAAAATGCGGCACAACTTTTATTCAGAAGATACGTATTCTGATGATGATGGCCAGCTTTCGTGGTTCAATGCTGGTGTAAGAGTAGGTGTGGGAATTGGTCTGGGGATGTGTCTTGGCATCGGCATTGGTGTGGGACTGCTTATGCGTTCATACCAAGCCACAACCAGAACTTTCAGGAGGAGGTTTTTGTAGACTTACTTTCTACAGTTGAAAACTTGTGTTTCTGGTTAAGGAAAATGGCGAGATTCACTAAAATGTGGCTTGGGGGGAAGAAAAGCCCATGGATAGAGGTTGTACAGTTATGGTTTAGCTGATCGAGTTATTTCTTCTCTCTTGGTAAAGTAGCTCTCTGAGGAGATGTTGGTCCCCGATCTCTGTCCTTGTAACTGAGGCCTATATGATATGATAAATGTGTTCGCTCAATTGGCATAGTGCGGAATATGCATCATAAATTGGTTTTATCATATCCTTGGACCAGCAAAGACTATGGCGGCAAGCAATTACTACCGATCTCTCTCCAAGTAGCTAGATTTTTTATCAATGAGGCCGCACTAGATATAAGAGGCTTTGTTTTATTTTTATTTTATTTTTCCTGAGGAGAGTAGTATGAGCTTGTGAGTGTGGGTGTGAGTCCATTTCTCCATAATGTATCTTTTGCCTGTATTCTAGAAATTGTATTGCCATTTGAAATATAGAAGAAATGTGTTTTTCTTAGGGACCGAGTGACTTCTTAGTGGATATGATGGTTAAATACTAAAGTATTCAAGGCTATAAGCATCTATACAACTTTCAGCTTCCGCGATTAAGGAGCCTACAACTTAAAAACTTACTAAAAGACAAGCAGTAAGCTTTTCGGTACAGTCACTTTAGCCACTGTCAAAAGGCCCAAAACTTTGGATTGTAGGATATGCTTATCCAATGTGAATTGTTTTTCTTGTTCCCAATTCTAATTACAAAACAAAGCCAAAAGTAGGTTTTTAAAACATGATCTTTAGTTGTGTGTTATTGTTTTGGAAACTGAAACAAAAAATGTCTTGTTAAACTTCTAATTTAAAGAACATGATTTCATTTGATTATGTATTATCATGTTTCATAAGTCATAATTTTTATAATGCAAAATTTGTTTTTCTTTTAGAAACCATTATTTTGATGGTTATGAATGCATGTATTGTTTCTAAAAACAAAACGAACTTGATTTTGCTTTTCAAAACAAAAATGCAGTTCAATAAGAAAAAATAAGAAGAAAAAACTTTAGTTGTTGGGAACATTCTTGAGCATGATGACATGTCAACCCATTAAATTCTCAATGTCTTTTCGGCTAAAGGAATATTGAGTGAATTACTCTTTTACCCCATGTCCATTGTATCATGTCATGCTCAATATTTCCAACAGCCTAGGTTATTGGCCCCCAACAGCCAAAGGTTTTTTTTTTTTTTCAACAAGAAGTTTTTGTTTTATTTTCTGATGTGGCAATTTCAATAAAAAAATGAAAACAAAGCCATTCATGTTGTAGAACATCTCATGTAGACCACATTCATCCAACTGTGGCCAGTACGATTCCTTTGCTGCTGCTGCTGCGTGTTGGAATATTTAAGTTATTCATTAGCGGGGGGGACACATGCAATGTAGGGGAAAATCCAATAATTCAGTACTGTATTTGTATTGAAAAATACAATAATTCAGTAATATATCAGTAATTATTCATTAATTACACAAATATTTTTCAAAATTCAGTAATTTTTAGAAATTACACTAAATTTTTCCAAATTCCAATTATCAAATTTTTTAATATTTTCAGTAACAATAAAAATATTAATATAAAATAATTGAAAATATTAATCACTGAAATATTAAAATTATTGAAAATTATAATTGAAAATACAAAACTAATATCAAAATAATGATTAATTTATTCAAATATCAATAAATTATTTCTGGAAAATGTTTTTAATTTTCATAAATATCAATTTCAGTAATTTATTAGTAATTGATCATTAATTATAGAAAAAGTTTAGAGTTCAGTAATTTTCCAAAATTAAACAAATTTATACTAATATTTTCAAACTTCAAATAATCAATTTGTTTTAATATTTTCAGTAATATTTAAAAATATTAACATGAAATAACTGAAAAATATTAATTATTGAAAAAATTAAAATTACTGAAAGTTATAATTTAAAGGAAAAACTCCTGATCAGTACCCTTTACTTTGGCTTGAGTGACAATTTGGACACCAAACTTTAAAATGCGACAATTTAGTACCCAAACTTTCAAAATGTGACAATCCAGTACCCAAACTCTCAAAATGTGACAATCCGGTACCTGTTGTTAAACAGTCCGTTAATCAATAGTTCAGTGACATTTGAAAAGTCAAAAATTCCCTAAGAATGTCATCATATCAACCATCCAAACATTAACAATAAAATGAACAGTCCCAAATTCTAGATTCTTCTAAATAGTCACCAACTTTTTTGAATAGAAGAGGCTAGGATTTGGGATTGTTCAGTTTTTTGTCAATGTTTGGATGGTTGATAAAGTGAATTAGATGGCATTTGAAGGGCATTTTTGACTTTTCAAATGTTACTTAATGACTAATTAACGGATTGTTTAACGGTAGGAACTGGATTGTCACATGTTGAAAGTTCGGGTACTGAGTTGTCACATTTTGAAAGGTTAGGTACTAGATTGTTGCATTTTAAAGTTTGGGAACCAAAATGTCACTTGAGCCAAAGTAAAGGGTACTAATAAGGAATTTTCCCTAATTTAAAATATAAAATTCAAAAGTAATGATTAACTTATTGAAATATTAATAAATTTTCAATATTTGTATTTTAAAATATTAAAATACAAAAATAATATTAATAATTAATTACTGAAAGCAATAAAATAAATAAATAGAAAATATTAAAAATAACTAAAAAATATTTTAATCACTAAATTACTAAAAATATTAATTTCTGAAATAACTATAATAATAATAATAATAATAATTGATGATGCATGATCTGGTAGTCAAAGTGTTATGCAATAGTTCAGAAGTGTTACGTGGCATGACGTCACTAGAGGGCCAAATTACCCCTCATCAATTGCCCCCAACTCCTGAGTCGAAGTCAGTTCGACGAAATAAGTAGCTCACTATAGGTCTCTGGCCCGAAGTGACTTGGTTTAGTTGGTTCGTTGGCACCAGCTCGGTTCACTCGCCTGAACCAGTCTGATAGGTCGCGCTAGGTGGTGCGTAGGAGTTGCATGGAAAATTCAAATTTTAAATTACGCGAACAGAGTTTAAATTTGAATTCGTCCTTAGAACTTGAAGCGGCATGTCCCTATGAACCATCAGATCCAACGCATTACAACTGTCAGTCACCTGAGTCCCCTATCTATATATAGGGGCCCCTAAAAGGTTCCATTCGCACTGTTTCTTGGAGTTTTTAGGAGTAGTAAAGTGAGAGGTTAGTAAACTCGACAAAAGAGGGCGACGAAATTAAAGCCCTCCTACTACATTACAACTAGCTCCTCCTGCTACACCACAACTTAACGGTGTTTCAGAGAGGAGGAATAGGACCTTATTGGATATGGTCCGGTCACTTCTCATACACTCAGAGTTACCCACATCCTTTTGGGGTTACGCATTAGAGACTGCAATTTACATGCTGAATCGGGTTCCGAACACTCCATATGAA